CACTGACCACAGCGCCTCTGTGAAGAATTCCCATTCAAATAACAACTATCTCTTACAAAAAATACCCAGTCTTTATTCTAGAATATCTACTGAAAAAAAAAAAACTTACTAAATTAGATAAACCAAATTTATTTTCCAAGTTCATGAGAGATATTAGTCTACCACTACTCCTAAGTCTAAGAAAATCATATGGCTACCTTTCGGTCTTTGTTGCAACCTATTGCATGAATATAAGTACTGCTAAGTAGCTGTTTTGAAAATAGTAAAAATATTTCAGGTATATACAGAAGCACTACATTTTACCTATACATTAGATTAGTTCTTGCACAAGACACTTGACAAAAAATGCACAGGGGAAGCTCTCTACTCGTGCAGGTACGATTCCTGTCATCTCTTGCTCTATCCAGTCCAGGCAAGAGTGGGAGTCTTTCCGCTGACTTCTGTCTGCTTCACGTTCAGAATTACAAGGCCACCTTCAGCAACCAGTCACCTTCAGACTACTGCCACCGGGTGCTACCTGCTCCCATCGCTCCCACCCGCCGCCACTCCACCCTCGCCCGATGGTCTCCTCAGGGAGCAACGATCAGCACGTGCGCCACCTGAAAACTCAACTCAACCCAGCTCAGCCCAACCCAGCTCAATCCAACTCAACCCAACCCAGCTCAAACTCAACTCAAACTCAGCTCAGCTCAAACTCAACTCACCTCAGCTCAGCTCAACTCAAACCCAATGCGTCTCAAACCCAACTCAAACTCAGCTCACACTCAACTCAACCCAACTTGGCTCAACTCAAACTCAACGCAAACTCAACTTAACTCAAGCTCAGCTCAGCTCAAGCTCAGCTCAAACTCAACTCAGCTCAAACTCAGCTCAACCCAGCTCAGCCCAACCCAGCTCAGCCCAACCCAGCTCAGCTCTAACTCAACTCAAACTCAGCTCAGCCGAACTCAGCTCAACTCAAACTCAACTCACCTCAGCTCAACTCAGCTCAAACCCAATGCGTCTCAAACCCAACTCAAACTCAGCTCACACTCAACTCAACCCAACTCGGCTCAACTCAAACTCAACGCAAACTCAACTTAAGCTCAGCTCAGCTCAAACTCAGCTCAGCTCAAACTCAGCTCAGCTCAACCCAGCTCAGCTCAACCCAGCTCAGCCCAACCCAACCCAACCCAGCTCAAACTCAACCCAGCTCAAACTCAACTCAGCTCAGCTCTAACTCAACTCAAACTCAGCTCAAACTCAAACTCAGCTCAAACTCAGCTCAACTCAAACTCAACTCACCTCAACTCAACTCAAACCCAACTCATCTCAAACTCAACTCAAACTCAGCTCAGCTCAACTCAAACTCAACGCAAACTCAACTCAAGCTCAGCTCAAACTCAACTAATTTCAAACCCAACTCAGCTCAACTCAAACTCAGCCGAACTCAGCTCAGCTCAAACTCAACTCAAGCTCAGCTCAGCTCAACTCAAACCAAACTCAACCCAAACCCAGCTCAAACTCAGCTCAAACTCAACTCAAACTCAACTCAGCTCAACTCAAACTCAGCCGAACTCAGCTCAGCTCAGCTCAAACCAAACCAAACTCAGCCCAAACCCAGCCCAAATCTCGGTCGTCCCCCCCAGCCCCACTTCCGTCTCCCGCGGAAGCCGCGTGGCCTGCCGGGCAGGCGGAAGCCAGGCGGCCGCGCATGCGCAGCTCCGCCAGGAGGCGGGGGAGGCCCGTCCCGGCGCCGCCCGGCCCCTCCCCTGCGCAGGGGCAG